ATAATAAGTGAAAAGTTACATATATCGAAGATCATAATAAGTATAAGGAAGAAAGGGAGATCTAAACTAACCCATGGCAGAAGCCGACACACTGCCAGGCAGACACCAGGTGGGCAGTCCTCACACACAGATCTCTGAAGAAGAGAGCAGTCCTGGCTCTCCTGTCCTCTGGCTCCTGGATATGAACCTGGGATACACCACAAGCTGCTTTGTATGTGACAACAATGAGGTAGCAAGGCAATGGCAAGCAAACAAGTCAACTGCATCCACACCACATCGGTATTCAATACTCAAGTGCCATACTGTACAAAATTTGGGGCGAGCAAGAGTAATTTTACAAGTTACATTAAAATTGTACAGACGATTAACACAATTCAGATGGCTAAGTAGGCTTGGCTTTAGTGGCCAAACACAGTGCACACAGTGTTAACTCAGAAATTGGCTTTAAAAAGATGATGTGAGAAAGATACATACCTGAGGGTAGTAGGACTGAGTGACAAAGTCTAGGAGTTGGTGGAGAATGTCCTCACGTCCCACACTTGGCCCCACACGACCTGTCTCCCTATCCCTCGTCTTGAATATCTCAAACGATCCAAATCTAACATTTTCAAAAAAGATGACCACAGGGGGTTGTGTCAAATTAATATATACAGGGTTTGTACGTTCAAGGAAGTGGCAGTACTCTTTCACTGGGCCCTATTGATATTTAGCCTTCATACAGACACATTCCCTTTTCCCTTAAAGGGAGTGAGGCCGTATATAAGGGCTAAATTTACAAAAAAAGAACTCTTTGACTGTGCCCCTATTGTTTTGTTCTGTCTTTAGTACATTTATAAATTTAGCCCTTATTATACTGCCACATTCCTTCAGGGTTGTTGCAAATTTTATCAGTAACTACACAAGATCAGTATAAAACCCAGAGGAAATAAAGGTACGTTCAATTCACACATGAGGACTATACTGTAAGCAGTGTGGATTGTGAAGGAGAGACCTGATAAAGGTGGGGGCAATTCTGGTGATGACAGTACACCTCTCCTGGATGGGGTGTCCACTGTAGAGAATGTCTCTGGTCACAGTGTCATCTGATGTGATACAGGAACCAGCTGAACACCTGGGAGAAAGACATCCTCTATCACCACGTGACTTCTCAAAATGCTCTAATTTACCTCTTGTAGTTGGAATTCCAAGATAATGCATGGCCTGGTGGTTGTATACAAATATAAAAGTTTATCATCTGCCATTCAAATCTCAGTTTGTACCTCAGAGCAGAGGAATTCTCTGATTGAGGAGCGGAGGACCTTCCTGCCATCAGCAAACCTTGAGTAGGGGGTCTTTCCCGATCCCTTTAACTGCAGCTCCCACCTTTGACCTCCAGGACCCACCACCTCTCCCAGGTAGCTGAGCAAGAGTGTGCGTGCGTGTGCGTGTGTGTGTGTGAGAGAGAGGGAGAAAAAGCCTTAACCACACGCTGAATAGTGAAAGCGTGCATTGTACATACTAATAAACAAACCTACCGGGCAGAGAATGGGGCTAGAGCTAAAGGTTTAGGACTCACTGAGCACAGCCATCTCCCAGTTGTCCAGAGAAGTGTCCAAACTGGTGGCCACAGTAGCAGTGAGACGCCGGCTCTGAGCCTGGCAGTATCTTGTTCCCACTCATGTACTCCACAAACCCTGGTCGTGACAACTGTACACATTAGTAGTCATGTTCACAAGTGGACACCTTTCTACTAAAGGATGAAGGACGTGTATGAACGAAGGATTCAATATTTGATGCTCAATAAATATCGTAGATGAATACAAAAACAGCACATCAATAATGCAAAACTGAGAGTGACCTGGTCAGGAGAGAGTCCCACAAGATGGAGGGCAGACGGAGAGTGGACCACAAGTCGAGGATTGCTCAGAGGTGTGGGTCGGACACGGGAAAAGCACGCACCTTCAGTCAAAAACAGCTGTTAGGCCATTGTTTCATAACAGAATGTGTAACACGGTACTCCATACTAAGCAGCAGTGATAGAAGCCGACCTGCCACACTCCTGACATAGTTTTGAGTCTCAGGATCAATGGGAAGGCTCTTCAGAGCTCTGTTGTCAAACACCAGGTCCTCCAGGCTGCTCATGTTACAGTCAGTGGCTGCATGCGGTGGAGGAGAGGAGAGAGCTGCCGCCCGTGACAGTAATGGTCCTCTTCTTGTCGGCAGACCAGCACTCAGGGGAAGTGAGTGTCGTCTCGTAGTCGTAAACAACGAAGGAAGAGACAGGAACCGACTGGCGAAGGCTGGACTGAGCATACACGCCAACGTGCTTTCTTTAGAAAACACCGATAGGACTCAATGTAGGCACAAAGCAAAGAGCCCTATCGGCTTCCGTTGGTTCTCCGCCGCCGTCACAGTTCTCATCACCACACCCTCTTTTTCTCCGCCATTGCGCGTGCGCATAAAACAAAACGCATTGCACTTACACACGGTAGTAGTGTCAAAGGGTAATTGAGGAGTTAAAATGGGCAGTGTGCAACAAGAAAGATGAAGAGAATCTATGCAGAGTTCCATAAGAACTTGTCATCTCCTAGCAGCTCTGCAAGCAGCTGGTTATAGGGTTGAAAAAATTGAACTAGAATCTGTTTTGTGTCCTGCCTCATTTTCAGTCTTGGATCACTCTTGTAGTCTATCACGTGTTGTGAATTCTCATTGCACCGCAAGTCAGTGTCCAAGGCGAGGTCAGCAGTCGCCCTAGGCAGCTCCAGGAAATCTGTTATCACATCAACGGTTGCTCTATCTCCAGTACCTACCTCCTCAAGAGTAAAGAAGTGGATTCTTGATCGAGGGACCACACTTAGCCACTTACGGGCATGGAAATAGTAGAGACCCATCTCCAGTCGAGTCCGGCCACAATTGGGCAGCTCTGGACCGTACAGGTTTGGAGCGACCACATCCACACACAAATCGAGCGGTTTCCCCTCATTTTTGCACTCATTAAACATGTGGATTTTCCTGGTAATCCTCTCGTGGAAGATGTCAGGTCCTCTGAACTTGACTGACCCCAGCTTTTGTCCCAGCATGGTGCATGAGAACCAGAATGCAGAGTAGAGCATGGAGACTGGGTTCCTCATGATGACAAAGTACTTTGAGTCTGGTAGGACGATGGGGATGAGGGACGGAAGGAGACAGTAGTTCTCCAGCGACTCACTCTCTGAATATCTCGGCCACTGGAACATCAGATTTGGTGAGGCGTCTATGGTAACGGCTGGAGTATTGCTCTCCATGAACGCAGCAGCACGTTGGAAGTTTAGGAGATAAAGAGCTATAGTGTCGGGTTCGATAGACTGTGCTTTTTCCCCTTGGTCCAGGTAAGATCCACCAGTGTGGCTCCTTGGTAGCCTCACACCGGCCACCGGTCCCCAGACTGTACTTCAAGACACGGTGCAGTAGACAGTAGAGAAATGTTGATCCACACTTTGGATAGCCCAGCAGAAATATCTTGGGAAGACAAGCAGAAGACTGCTCAACACACATTTCGTTGCGTGCACGATACCACTGCACACCTCTGAGTAGAAGCTGTTTGGAGCGCGTACTCCGGCCTTTGAGGGTAAAATTGAAATCCCCAATGTGCCCCTTTAGGAGTGGACCCTCACACTTTGCAGAAAACCTAACGTCCCAACAAGGTACAGTATAAGGTGTCTCAAAGTTTGGAACCACACGGCGCAGACTTGACAAGAGGTCCCTAGCATTGGTCTGTGCCCTCTCATACAAACCTTCACTCCTGAAATAGGCACTCATGTTCACCGACATCAAGCAAGTATCAATTCTGGCAAGAATATTGCCGATCTCCTCAGGGTTAGTGAAGTCTCTTGGCTCTGCTATACTATACTGACGCGCGCCATCCTTCGGGGCAGACCGATCCCTAAGCCGCCGTCGACGACTGCGAAGTGCCTCTAACTCTGCGATTCGATTGCTGCCATTCCGTACAGTAACTTGAGTAACTTGAGCAGGAGGTGCAGCCGGCTTCCGGAGAGAGGGATCCTGGAAAGTTTCGCGGAGTCTACCGACCGACAAGACACCAAAGTACCACTCCCCGGCCACCGAGAAGACGGCCACAAGCGCCAACACACCGACAGCAAGTCTCAGTCTCATATTCGATCCATATAAGTGTGTAGGGGCGAGCCCAGCCGGCCTCCCTCTCTGCTGTGTGTGTACGTGTAGTACGTACGACCACGTCGTTCCGCGCATGCGTTCATGGCCAGGGGGGAGGTGTGGTATCGGGCAAGTGTGTGTCTCACTCTTTTGTCGTGTCTCCACCGCCACAATCGCGAAAGGCACCAACCTACAAAGTCGCGGAACACAGTAAAAGACGAATAGTGAGTTCGGATATCCGTCCGTTCTGTCCCTGAAGCAGTGTTTAGGCGGAGGGGCGAAAAGAGACGTGTGTTCATCAAGCGACCAGAGAACGTACACAGAGGGGGAAAGCAACAATGGCTCACGGATACAACAATTTCATGAACAATAAGGACTTCCATCCTGCGAACTTCACCAACCAGAAGAGAATCTGGGAAGCCGAGCAGAAGAAGGCGCAGGAAGAGAAGAAACAGGAGGAGCTACGAGCCCAGTACCTGAAAGAACAGGAGATATACTGCAGCAAGGAACTACTGGGGAAGGCCAATCCTCTAGACTTCATGTATGAGCCTCCACCAGGCTATGTCAAGGACGAAGAAGCTGATGCTAAGGTCGAAGAGGGTAAGCTAGAACTGAAATTTGAGTGGCAGAAGCCGGGACGATCTGCACCGCGAGAAGAGTTTGCCAAAGAGATGAACCTGAGGGACCAACCGTTTGGCGTGGCCGTACGCAACGTCAAGTGCATCAAATGTGGCAAGTGGGGTCACATCAATACCGACAAGGAGTGCCCGCTCTTTGGGAAAATAAAGCCAAGTGCAATCGGCAATCCGGGAGCTGAAGAGACATCAGAGCAACAGGCGGCACCACAGGGTGTGGAGGACGGACTGTCATTCAGGCAGTGCGTGCGGGACAGAGTGGTCGATGCTCGAGCCAGCAACCAGCAGATCCTTGCGTCTGACGACGAGACAGAGCTGCACGACCTCCTCGCCACCATGGATAGCCACGGGAAGAAAAAGATGCTGCGGAAACTAGCTCGAATCGAGGCCAGGGAGATTGCGGGAGGTGATGGTGCACAGAACAAGAAGCATAAGAAGGCCAGCAAGAGCAAGTCTAGAGATAGGAAGAGCCGAGGACATGACAGAGATGGAGGCAAGAAGGTGAAGAGAAGGCGACATGACAGTACAGATAGTTCAGACAGCGACAGTGACAGTAGCCCTCATGAGATGAGGAAGAGATCCAAGAAGAGAAAGAAAAACAAGTCTGAAAAGCATAAGAGAAGTAAGGGGAAGGGGAGACACAGTGACAGTGACTCAGATAGCAGTGATTTGGCTACCAGAGGTCGATCAGCTAGAGGAACCAAGCGAGACTCTGTGCGAAAAAGAAGGCGGCGCAGTGACAGCTCCGGGGAATGAACTTCTGGAGGCCCTACACTGCACATGCACCCCATGTCACCGCGTTTAATTATGTAAATTAGATTTCGCGTGTGAAATTCAAGGGGAAACCCCTGTACAGCTAAGGTCAAAGGTTGGCATACAAGCACGTGTTGATGTTGTTGGCCGTAGATACAGCCCGAAAAGAATGGAGGGGAGCTACGCAGAGGTTGTGGGGTGGGTGAGAAAAATACTGGATCCTCAGTGTTCGGCAGAGGAGCGAGCCGTCTGCCATCAAGTAAGTGTATAGGAGTCGCTGTACTCGGACACTTTCCAGGCTGGATGTGTACAAATGTAGCTGCGTATTCGGGTGGTGGAATGCGCGTGCATGTTGCGTTTGTGCATGCTGAAGCTCTGTTTTACAGCATGTGGAGGACCTGAAGGAGAGACGGAATGACTGTCTTGTTTGTGGGTTCCACTTGGCCTGCAGTGTGGACCCCATGATCAGACACTTTGGACTCCAGCTTCTCGAACACTTTGTAAGGTTAGTGGATTTCATGCTCGCATGATTCGCACAGCATAGATAGCTCTTGTGTGTGTGTGCTAGATACCGTTGGCAGAATCTCCATGAGTTGGGTCGAAGGGATTTCTCGTTACAACTACTGGATCATATCTCCCGCGTGAGTGTCACGCTTTAACATTTGATCAGTATGCACTAATGTTGTGGTTTTCAATAATAATCTGTGATTGGTGTACACCATCATGGTGAGTTTCCGTTGCTTGTGCCACATGGCATAGAATTTTTAAAAAGTCCAAGAAACACTCCAAGACACAACAAATTTTATTCATGACAAGAAAGCCCACCATAGTTAATTTTCAGCTGAGCTATATAATAATGGTGTTCTCTGCAATTGACCAACTAATGCTTTTGACATTTTCATTGTCAAATTCCAAATTACCCTGAATAGGGGTCTGAAGGAATGAGGCATTGCCTTTCCCTCTCCCTCCCCTCACACACACACACACACACACACACACACCATCACCCTGTGCTGTGGGTGGCACACTAGTCTACACTACCAATGGAAGAGGAGGCGGTGTATGTGAAGGAGAGTCTGGCCAGACTGGTGGTTGAACTGGCTCAGAAGACATGGCCACAGCACTGGCACACTTTCCTGGGGGACATGGATCTCCTCACTAGGCATGGAGTGAGTGAGGGTGGGCTGTAGCCTCGTACCCAGCCATGTTGGAATGGCGCTCGCCATAAGAGATAATTGCACAGTATTGATCCGAAATATGAAAGAGTTGTCTTCTTACACGTGTAAAATATATTGGCCATGCATAAAATAATGACTGCAAGTTATGTACTGTTTCGTGGATTATTATAGTCCAAATAACAAAAATTTGTTAGGTTGAAATAAAAATAAAGCAGCCCCACATCTCGCCAGACAGACGTCTATGGCAATGCCAAACTGTACGCTGTCCTTTGAAATGTAAGTGGGTCAATGGTAGATTTGTGGGTAAGGGGAGGAACCAGAGCTGTTCCCAGCCATTGCTCTGGACCACCTGTTAGTTTCAGTGTAGTCTGGGATTCAAACCGGGCACCTTATGCTGACAGTCCCCATGTTTCTATATACCACTTAGGCACTTTGGCTGGGTGCGAGAGGTGTTGAAAAAAATTTAATCTTATACTAAATACCATTATGCAGTAAATTAAAAAAATCCACCCAAACCGGGAGCGAACCTTTGATCTCATTGATCTCCCGATCAAGCCTTATCGAACCATAGTTGAAGGGTTAGTAGGCGAATGCATGTTATTTTTGGCGAGCGGGAGCAATGACTGTATCTGCACGAGCCATCCTAGCCTTGTTCCAACTTGCACCACGAAGATTGGAAAGAGGTACAGCCTCGGTCAGGCACAGAAGAGCGCAGTGAATGCCGTCGAATGGAGGAGAGTTCTCTCGCTAACTAGATGCACATCGAGGATAAAGCTATGCAGCTTGTAAAAATTTCTGATAAAAAGAAGCGCGTAATCCTGACACATGCGCAGTAGCGTGACGTACGGAGGTATATAAATATATAAACAGAATAATCGCCCGGTTCGGACCACTAGGTTAGCTCGCTCCCACTCGCCAAAAATTATCTCTTATGGCAACTAAGGAGCTCATTTTCACCTACCCTGATGCTGGTGCCAATAATCACATTCAGTTATCTTGCATGGCCAGTAATGAGCCTCTCAACCTTACTTTTCAGATTGCTTTACGTCATTACCATTTTTGGTGTGTAAATATATGCATACATGACTGTACGAAGATGTAAAGAGGAGAAAGTAACCCTCTCATATGCAATTGTGTATGTGTGTGTCCAGCCAGCACAGGTTGAGGTGGTACTACTGGTGTTCCGACGACTAGCAGAGGACCTACACCCACAGTCCAATGCCCCTCTCTCACCGCTACGTCGAAAGGAGATGAGCGCTGCACTTCGTGAGCAGTTGGGTGTTGTCTACCGGTTCATAATGAGAAACCTCGAGGTATGTATACACTTCTGTGTGTGTTTACTGCAGTATGCTTCTCTCTGTATAATCTGCTCCTGGTTCTCAAATTTGGTTACTTGTAGCATGAAAAGCACTAAAGTGCAAACCCTCGGCAAATTGGGCATGGCTATTGGCGTTTACTCGCGGAGAGTCTGACACGGGCTAGCTACGGTAGTAGATAGCGTGCGGGAGTCGATCAATACACAACCTTCGCTGTGTTGTGCCTCCAACGTACACAGAGCAAGCGGATCAGGTCGAGGTGAGCCAGCATACTGCGTTGATCACGTCTAATATACGCATGCGCACCGGAAAGGGATAACAATGAATGTGTACATAATAGACCGACTGTTGTCTATCTATTTCAGAGAAGATGTCTGTATTCGACGATGTGCATTGATGTTCAACTGCATACAGGTACCAGAGGTCCCAGCATTGTGTGGAATAGCTCTGAGTGCCCTCACCTACTATGTGGAGTGGCTGGACTGGAGTGAGCTCCTGACATGTGACTGCAAACTCCTCAGACTACTCTACTCTTTCATCAGTGTGGAGCAGCTCAAGACCGACGCCTGTGAATGCCTCCTTGCCATCCTCTCCAGAAAGGTTCATCACACTCAGGGGTTTTCTCCAGAGGGGGGAGGAGGGGGCAAAGGGGACATCCCCCAGAAAATTTCTTTGCTCCCTTAACTATGCCTCAAATAAAGTATAATTAAGTAATTAAGTGAGAGCAGTGTCGTCTGGTTACCTTGTACCCCACTATACTATTTTCCAAAAAAATGGTTTGCCCCCCTCAGAAGTACACGTAGGCAGACTATTCAAGAGTTAAAAGGTGTTTGCTCTACAGATTACAGTTCTCAAGAGAAGCACCATTGCACTCAGAGTTCTTTCGTGTCTACATTACTGTACAACAACACTAGGGAGCCATGTATAGTTTTCTGCGTAATGCAGTGTTCACATTCTCATGATCCTATCATGTTACCAGCTCACTTGTAACATGCTCAATCCGTTTGGCTATGCGTGAGCATGCGTCTGCGTTCACTAGGCGAACCACAAACACTCTTCCTTGGCATAGTTTTTTGGTATTTATATATGTACACTAGGGAGATTTGAAGAGAACTATAAAGCAGAGAGAAGAGCTCCTGATTCTCCTGTCCAAGGATGCCCTGCAAGTCGTTTTGGATGCTGCCTTGTGAGTCGACTGAATAGTGTTAATTCGCCAGCATGTAATGGTGTCACAGGTGATGCTGTTCCCAGGCTCCCTAAAAATAGCAGATAAGGGGCAACATACACCAAAATGTCATTTCCTGTTATGAAGCAGATCGAGGCGCATCGTCAAAAACTAAAAAGCTCTTAAAAGAAATGGTACCAGAAAGATAAGGGAGAGAATGGGAAACTTGAAATTAATAATCACAACCACAAGGATTTAATATCAACCTCAATTATCCAGGGTTCCCCATCTTGTTGGGGAAGCAATGTTAGGACACACGTAATTATGCCAGTTCCTTTCTTGGCTGTGGCAGGAAAGCGGCAGGGTGTGGGGTGGACGAGGTTCAGTATGTGTTCATCAAGAGAGTGTGTCAAGTCCTCGTGGAGCTGGGAACTTCACAGATTGCACGACTCTGGGTAGGTCCACCTACGTATGTACGTACATGTCCGTACATGTGTGTCTACAACGAGGAGGTCTCAAGGCCAGGGCAGACCAAACAATCCAACGACACCCAAGACAACTCTCTTTTTCCAAGGAAAGAAATATCTGTCGTGGGTGGTCGGATTCGAACCCCCCACGACACTGCACTCCAGGCGGGTGCTCTACTGGTAGCTCAGCAGGAAGCTCAACGGTTCATATCTAGAACGCAATACAACTACAATAGACAAAATCAAACCTCATGTACACATCCTTTTAGAGAGTCAGCTGACATGCGTAGGTGGTGTGGGTGCCCCAGCCTTGAGAACCAGGGGTGGTGATGTTAGACCATATATGTGTGTATGCATAATTATGGAACGCAAAATGTGTATGCGTGTAGTCTCTAGGTTCATACATATTGTATGATGACTGAGAGTAAGATCTAAGGAATTCCAGCTAGTCCAAACAACGTACACTCATAGTGAGCGCTTCCTGCTGAGTTTACGGGTAGTTATACCATAAAGAGGCCATACGATTTCCCCATACTTTAGCTGTATGTCAACTAATTTGCATAAACCACAATGGGTATATGGTAGTTATACGGTAGTAGGAAATTGGCAGCGTGTAATGCAATTGGGGGGCTTTTACACTCCTTGTGTGCTGCTGTTTCTTTACCAGAAGGGAATGTTTTCAGGCTGGAATGGCCAGAAACTGCTCTAGTATATACGCGGTCTGAAAACTAGCGAAAGCTGCTTCCCGACGCGTAGGCCTCCGTAGACTGGAACAGTATGTGACTTTCAGCTTTCTTGCTACTGCAACAGGCTGCATTCGAGAGTGCTGGGTATAGCGGGAGAGAAAGCGAGCCAGAGCGGCAGCTACAAAACTCGTGTGGAGTCTAGCAGCGAAAAAGTACAGCTTTGACGTACCTGTAACGTTGAACTCTCGAGATATGACCATGGCTTCTGCACAACCGCCCAGCTTGACAAAACTAAAGCGCTTATTGCAGCTGTTCTCTCCCGATCGATCGCTAGCTAGCTCTCTCTCCGTACACTCGAGGGTGTGCGTTAAAAAGAGGGCGTTTTGAAAGCTTTTGCGCAAACTCATTGGTCAGAGCCTTACCGCCGGATGTCATCATACAAACACGTTATACGGTGGCTTTGCTTGTGGTTTACTTGTTGCACACTCGTGGCTTCAGTTTTGATAGACCACTCGGGCTACGCCCTCGTGCCCTATCAAAACTGGCCACTCGTGTACAACCAGTAGACCACGCGCCGCCATCGTATACCTTACTACTATACATACACACACACTTATACCTAATTATACAACATGCACACGCACTGATTTACACTGGGATGCTGTACATAGTTATATTGTTGTTGTCCTGGTATTGTGTTGTTCAGGAGGCAAAGTTCAAACCTCCTCAAGGCTTTGGGTTCTACTTGGAAGTGATGCTAGAGTTCTTCAAACATGATAGCCAGGTACATGCATAATATTCTAGCCTAACATATGTATAACCTTGTAATAATTGGCGAGTGAAGCCCTAGGTGTCAGTGGGGGGCACTAGGTTAATTTTCCCTCCGACCGCAAGCCATAGTCATCTATTTAAATTTGCATGGAAACTCGAAATTTTCCCCAAGTTGCGTGTAATAATTTTACAGGCCTGTGTATAGTCAAATGGTGAATGCTTGGGAGTTGCGTCCTCTGTCACATCAAGCATTGTACATGGCTGGCTAAGCCATTCCCTATTGCCCATACTAATGTGTAGTGGTTGATGTGTTTCAGCTGGTGTGTCTGACAGCCACATCTCTCTGGTCGGCCTTCCTGGCCCACGGCTACATCATCGACGACCCTGATTTCAGGAGAATCCTCCCACAACTCTCCCTGAAGCCTGCAAGAAACTCATCAGGGTAGGTCCATCATAATTAGAATGGCTTCCCTGGTAAAGTCAATTCTTTTTAGTTCTCTGACTGTTATACGTACACAGTTTGCCAGTGTTTGCCAACACGTGATTTATCGTGGGCAGAATTCAGTAGTGCTGTGTGGCCAAATATGACCCCTGTATTAATGTATGTTGTATTTGCATATGTAGGTTGGCAATCCTGGTTCATCATCAAGTGATCCTGAGACTCAATACAACAAACTGGACTTTGATGACCAGAATGAATACATTACGTTCTACTCCAGTTAGTTTTTCAATACACTTCCATGTTCATGTCCATTGCGTTGTTGTGTGTGGTTCACAATGCTATAATTTCAGAAGGTTCAGCCCCCATATCAACAGTCAGTGTATTGCCGGTTTTTTCCTACACAAACAGCTAAATTAGTAGCAATTACGTAATGACTTCCACTATGTCCGGGGGTGTGGCTTAATTACTTAAAACTTTGAAAGATGCATAATTCCTTGCAACCCCGGCATATACACGTTTTCTCTGCTTTTTCCAAATGTAAGTATGATTTTTTTCTCCAGTGTTCAGGAACAGACTTGGTATCATGTTGATCAGGATGTGTCAGAAGGGAGCCATTCCTGGGAATGCCTTCGACCAGACTCTCAAGCTGACCACAACTCTAACACAACAGTTCCCCTCACAACGTAATATTATAATGTACATTGTGTCCTGTTTTATAGGCGCTCTGACACGATGCATAATTTCTACCATGTGCATGTAATTTTGAACATAGGGTGGTATACATATATACACACTGCCATGCCTGTTGCACATATGACGTACGTAGAAAATACTGGAGGCCAGTTGGAAAACGCTAATTACTTGGGATAGTTTGGCTATTGTGGGTCTTATAAGGCATATAAAAGTGTAAGCGGGTGTGCTTGCGGCCACGGTAATGCGGCAAACTTAAAGACATTTCGACCAATCAGATTCGTTTATTGAACCTGGGCCTAGGTCTAATTGCTTCTGTGTGGGTGGCCGGTGTGTCAAAGTGACTAACATTATGCCATCCATCTTAGCATGCCACGTACTAACAGGCGACTGCGAGTGGCACAGATCAGATCATGGTAGTGTTTTGTTTGCCACAGAGTGTGACCGTGAGTCTCCGCTATATCTGGAGTGGGATGGGTTTGTGTCTGTCATGGAGAGCTGGACTAATGTCATGAAGTCTGACAGTGAGCTGAGGGACCTACTGGTTAGTAGCTCCAGTCTTACTGTGCTCTTTTTATATGATGTGATTTAGCAGTGTGTCTGTGGAATGTGAACATTGCGCGAATGTACATATATACACTGTACATATGTTTGTAAACCTCTCTACGTACTTGATGGATACAGAGTAGTACATCCGACAACACACAAACAGACACATAATTATTGCACCGTCTGCTAGTATGAATGGAGTTGTGAATCTTCTTTTTACTAACCCTCTGTGTGTGTGTGTGTGTGTGTAGCAAGGGTTGTATTTGGTCCGTGTGCCTGTGTATTCTGGCACCACGGGCTATGTGGCAGCCAGGGAGCAACGATATCCACCTCAGTGGACTCAAAGGCATTTTTTTGTATTCGAGCAATAATGAAAGAGCAAACATGTCAAAGAATTGCGTATGTATATACCTTGAACAGTGGTCTCCCATTCTACACACTGTGGGGGCTTTAATTTACTCAGATGATGGGTGTCCAGTCAGGCCATGTTCCAAGTTCTTCACCCTTTGCATCTAGCAATGTTGGCTTATTTTATGGTCACAGTGAGCTAGACTGGTCCAGCCTGTTTCTGTTCAGTTATCGCTGAAGTTGCTACCACACATACTTCACGCTGAGTGGTGCTGTACTTAAAACAAAGTTGTGTTGTTGGTTGCAGAGGGAAAAGGCCGTATCTTTGGCTCGTCTGGTGCTGAACTATGACCCCGGAGATGCTCTTGTTCTGTGCTGTGTCCTCCGCTGTATGAACAGTGGCCTGTTGTGGGTGGTGGACATTGATCCTCAGCTTCTTCTCCAACCTTACCTTCAGAAGGTATCCCCTGGGGGGATATGCTAGTATCCGCTACATTTGTGTGTGCATTCACCATTGCAATTATGTTTCAGTGAAACATACTGTGCTTTAGTAATAATGTAAATAATAATAATAATAATAAAATTAGAGATCCCGCCGGAAGAGACGGCGCAGGACGTGTTCGATCAGTTGCAGGACGTGCGACGCCGGCTGGAAGCGCAGGGGAGTCGAGCCGGCATCCGCCTGCCGGTAGAGCTGCCGCCGCGGCTGCTGGCGGGCCAGCCGGCGGTGGGGGCCGAGCTGGCGCTCGGTTGCCCGGTAGTCGGCGAGATGTTCTCGCTGGCCGGAAAGTGGGTGGCTCTTTCATTGACACAGAATGCAGTTTAGCAGTAACATGTATTTTTCATAGTTTTATAGTTGCGAACATTTCCTACGATGTGTCTGTTTCTACACGTTTAGATTTTCTCCTGTGTTGAGTCTTTGGGAAAGGTGGAGAGTAAGGTATGTACTGCGAGACAGTCTTGTTGTTGATTTTTTTGCATAAAGTTAGCTAGGTTCACAGTATGACGCATTGCCCCGTCGTGCCGTGCCGCGTCACGTCCTGCCGCGAAGATAAAAAATGGAGTCTATCCTCGAGGTGAGGCAACGGGCACGGCGCGAATGGCCAATGCGACGTATTGTGAACCTAGCCTAAGGGGCATTGCCCTGCCGAAAAACGGAGGATTAGGAAATGTTTTGATGTGATACACAGAATAGGAGAAGTTGATATGTACGTTGCTACTCTAGATATGTTGTTCTGCAGTAGCTACGATGATAGCAGTGTATTCACACATTTCTATATTCTGTGCATTTTCCAGACGAGAAAGAATGTTGTCTGCAGTAGCTACGATGAAGTTATTATAGTGGTGTATACACAAATTTCTAATTATAGCGCTTTTGCATTTTGCCATATTCCCGTTACACTTGGTTTCCATGTTACCCCGATTATACTGAGTCATGGTTTTTATTGTGGTGAATGAAGATGCGATGGAAAGAATAATTATTATTATTCTGTGCATTTTTCCAGACGAGAAAGGTGATGGCAGCTCAGAATATCGCCATGCAGTGCTTTATCAAACTCTGTAGCCAGTTTGGATCCCTGCTCCTGGTGAGATTATGGAAATACACCCATGTTGCATATTGTATTTGTAGACGTTTAGCTTAATTTGTTGGGTGTTTGTTATTTAGTGCTCAGTGTGGAAAATGAGAGAAGCAAAAAGCGAGAGAATTCGGTATCAATCGCTTTTGAGCGTGCGTTTTTTATTTGCCCACATTTTTCTATTGCACACGTACTGCTGTTGATGTGTGTACATGCACTGTGCCAAAGGATATGAAAGTAATATCAGATCGTAGTATTTATATATACGTTTATTGTATTTTGCGTGGGCGAATCAAAGGCGCCGCCAGTACTATATTCATCATACAGAACGGTTTTTGAATGAACTGTACTATATCCGCGGACTAGCGTACACTTTGCGGGAATGACGCCTCGGCGGCCTTTCGTAGACGGAGGTCGACTCAGACGGTGACACAAACAGCTGCTGGAAGGGCGCTCCGCGAGCTTCTAGTCCTTCTGAACTTGCAAAAAAAAGATTTTCCTGGCCGCCGCCTTTTGAACTATATCCGCGGACTAGCGTACGCTTTGCGGGAATGACGCCCTCGCGGCCTTTCGTAGACGGAGTTCGACTCAGACGGTGACACAAACCACTGCTGGAAGGGCGCTCCGCGAGCTTCTCGTCCTCTTCTGTTCTGAACGCCGGTTTTCCTGGTCGCCGCCTTTTGAATCACCCACGCATACAATAAATAACTTAATGTACGGAAGCACGTGCTGTGCGCGTCATAATGGTACTCAGAACGTGTCTCGATAGATCATACAGCAACTCGTGCTGTATGACTATCTCGACCACGCCCCTCGTACCATTATTACGCGCACAGCACTGACTTCCGTACATTAACTATTACATATTGCTGTTCTTATAATACATATGGCAGCTACGTAATTCTCTAAACTGGCAACCTGTTAAGAATGGGCTTCATTCAACACCAGTCTTTTAGCTGGTACTGAGCTGGCAGATTGGGCAGCATTGTCCTTCTGGGGTGACCAGTTCACTGTCAATACAGAGTGGCTGGGGGCACCTTACTTCTGAGCAGTCTGGAATAGGGGGCTACCCTACTGTTGGCTGGCAGATTGGGCAGCATTGTCCTTCTGGGGTGACCAGTTCACTGTCAATACAAAATGGCTGGGGGCACCTTACTTCTGAGCAGTCAGGTCCCGGAGGTGGAGGGGTAGACTGGCAGATTGGACAGCATTCATCTTCTGGGGTTACTAGCTCGCCACCGATGCAGAGTGGGAGAGAACATAGCACCCTGTCACACTTATTTGTATGTCCTGCATAAGAAGATAATGCTTTTAACTAACCATGGCAGTGACAATCTGCATTTGGACACAGGAACGTACGTACTTGCCACAGTGGTAGCTACAAGACACAGTGCTAGTAGCCCGAGTGTGAGGAGGAGATTTTTCATGTCTTCACACACTTTCTTCCCTGACTGAGTATCTTGCTGTTGGCTGATGGTTGGTGGTGCAGAAATCTCTGCCTTTTATACAGATCACACACTGAACATGTCATTTTCACACCACACACACCCTTTCCTTTGTGCATTCAATTCCATGGAGCTACAGTTGACTCCAGTTCCCTACACTTGTCCTGGGTGTAATTGCATTGTTAACCCTCGGCACCCATGCGCAGAGGGGGTTACAGTACTTTGTACTGTGTGTCTGTGTATGTGTTTTTCTGGAGCTTTTGGCTACGAGGCTGCATAATACACCAAACCGTTGCTCGCGCATATATACATGCCGAGGGTTGAATAGGTAAGCTTAATTTTTTTTCAAATTCCGATCTAGAACAGGATATTTCCTCTTACTCTTGTGGAATTCATTGTCCTTCACACCTACATAGTTAGCTACACGTTCAACTTCACACCTGCACGGATATATGGTACTCGCACAGAGCCAGCCTCCACATTAAGATTGAGGAATGTCCATTGCTTAAAGCAACTAACAGGGCAAAGGATTAAAAAGCGATGCCCATGAAAGGCTGACAATACACCTCCTTAAAGTCAATTGTACTATTGTGGTATGGTATGTGGAATGTGTGCTTTGAGTGCTTGCAGAATTGTGTTGCATAAGAAATTGTCTGGTGTTAACTTACGTATATGTACAATGAGGTAGCAAGGCAAAGCACCCAGGACAACCCATTGCAAGGAAGTAAGGAGAGCTCCCAGTTTCATTGGGAGTGATTGGGTGCGCAAAGGGCCACATTCCCTTTCCTGCTGGCCAGGAAACTCCCCATTGTGGCCTGGGGAGGTGTGTCTGTCATTCTGTCGTGTCACTTCCTACCTTGTGCTGAGTGTATCTCAAGCCTAATTCCCTCTATCTGTGTGGAAAGGGTGTTCCTTCCCATGCCTAGGGATTTAAGTTGATACCATAGTCACATTCCCTTTCCTCCTGGTCAGGAAACTCCCCATTGTTGCCTGGGGAGGTGTGTCTGTCATTCTGTGCCACTTCCTATCTTGTGCTGGTGTATCTCAAGCTGAATTTCCTCTATCTGTGTGGAAAGGGTGTTCCTTCCCATGCCTAGGGATTTAAGTTGATACCATAGTCACATTCCCTTTCCTCCTGGTCAGGAAACTCCCCATTGTTGCCTGGGGAGGTGTGTCTGTCATTTTGTGCCACTTCCTACCTTGTGCTGAAGCTGAATTTCCTCTATCTGTGTGGAAAGGGTGTTCCTTCCCATGCCTAGGGATTTAAGTTGATACCATATTCACATTCCCTTTCCTCCTGGTCAGGAAACTCCCCATTGTGGCCTGGGGAGGTGTGTCTGTCATTTTGTGCCACTTCCTACCTTGTGCTGAAGCTGAATTTCCTCTATCTGTGTGGAAAGGGTGTTCCTTCCCATGCCTAGGGATTAGGTTGGTACCATAAAGGTTTATTACTTTGAGATCCAGTGGTGAGACTACGTATTACTGCTTCATGGTGGAATATATTGCAACCTGTTTTGCCATCTCTAAAGTTTTGTAGATTCGTGTTTATGTCCCTCGTCATCAAAGTCATTTCTTTAATAGGCAATAGAGAACCGTGTGTGATGGCCAGAACCGACTGGCCTTTGTCCACCCTAAGGATTACGTAGACGTATACTTAAAGAAGTAGCCCAATCATATTGGCCAAATATTATTACTGGGATAAAGTGGCTGAAACGTTTCACACTACAAAACTGAACATCAAAGTACTACCATATATCTCTAGGGTTAATTACGTCGTTACGTAGATTCGAGTTACTGAATTAGTTAAGAGTGGGTTCACAGGAAGCGGTGGAGAGTGTCAGCAGTCTACTGACTGACAGTTATCTGTAGTAGAGACTGCCCCCATCGCACACGGGGCAACACTGGCCATCTGGTACTACAGGCACTGTCCCGCCGTAACACTTCATGTCGGGACACATCACCGTGTGGCAGTCTGGTGTGAGGCACTGCGGACAGCACTCTCTGTCGGCAGTTGTCTGCTCGCTCTCGTTGCAAGTCAGGGGGGTGCACTCGACAAACTGACAATGGTCAGTACTAGGTTCAAGAGTCGCACAGACTGGGCAGCATTCACCGTCATGTTGTACCTGATGGGATTTGTCACAAGTCAGAGGTTCACACGCCATTTCGTTACAATTGCTAGGCTGGCAGATGGGGCAACACTTGCCATCTGGGACGACAAGTTTCCAGGTGTCATCAAGACACACTCTACCACCCAGGCAGTTGGCATTGCTGCAGTCTAGTGTGACCATGCAGTTGGGGCAGCACTGGCCAATTGGGGTGTAGGTCAATCCAAGAGGGCAGTCGAGTTCAGGGCAATTGGCAACGTCACAGATCTCAGAGGAAGGAACTGTGGAGAAATACTTGATAATGCACCGTATTAGTTTGTCTTTTTACTGAACTTACATGCCTCTGAGGCCAGTACGAGTTTTGCCAGAAATACTACTACGGCGTCTACTTTCATCTCTACTCACACTTTTTATTAGCCCTGTTGCATCTGTCCTTATAACAGTAGCCTCTTTCAGTTTGAATGCAGCTGAACACTTAGTTTGCCCCTGTTTTACATGAATGTCATTGCAATGTAAAGAGCTTTGAGGCTTCTCTGAATAGTCTTTAGTGTTGAATACTTTTATACATCATGTATTGTGATTTTCGTGTAGTTTGCACAGTAAAAGTTGCTTACTTGCTTGCTTTACCTTTGCCTTACTTCCTCAATGTCATGTGCACACGAACTCCACTTTTCGTATTTTAGAGTAAATCTGCTGCATGCATCCATCGAACAGTGACCGTCCACCCCCCTGCAGCCCTACCTCCCCCAGCTCTATGAGCAGTATGAAACAGCAGTGAAACAAGACATCATCTCTTATTCCATGAGGGCATCCTTCATTGAGGGATTTGTTATCCTCAAGTACGTGGGCTTTACGTAGGAGCATGAATTGTTGTGTGCATTGCGTGTGCTTTGAAGCAAATTTGTAAAGTACGTATTTTGTAGCCTACTGAGACCAGACCTGGAGCAACAGAGGGTGTTTCTGAGACAGCTGATGCAGGATGCAAGCACTGTTCTTCGAGAGTTACAGCGGTGGGTACCATCACAATTTACACAACCATTACGTCATGGAATAACTACACGTGTTCAGCTGTGGAGCCCTTTCGTCATTGGAGGGGCTAGTTCGTTATCTAGGGATCCATACGAGCCCAGAAGACCCAGCGTTCTGTCCAGATCACAGGGCCCAACTCTGCTATGTTGGTCATGTCGTCTCAGTGGTGCTGAAGAACAGTGTGCTCCCTTCCAACAGACAACCTGGACAGGTTTGAAACACATACATACGTACATACATACATACATACATACATACATACATACATACATACATACATACATACATACGTCATAGCATAGTACATACATACATACGTACGTACGTACATACATACATACATACATACATACATACGTCTTGTGTAGTTGTACATACGTATGTTCATGCTTGAGTACTTGTACGTATGTTGCATATGAGGCTGTCGATACAAGAGTCTCCCGGTGTATATTGAAAAAAGATTGTTTGAATACCTGTGACTGACATTCTACAGCCACTGCCGGCCAGCCCAGAGCAGCATCCCAGCTACCAACTGACTGTCCCTCTCCTCACACAGTTTGTACTGCCTGTCATTCAGTGAGTGTTACGTATGTCCTTCCTCTTACTGGCCCGTTGCAGTGGAATGTACAGTAATGTAGAATAGTGGTACTTCAACCTGATGTACATGTTTATATATCACTTTAACACATTCACTATGTAATCCACTGTCATAGGTTAAGGGGGGCAGCGAAATTTGGGCGCGATAGGGATAGGTGCAGCGAGATTAGGATGTTACCATTCCAAACTCCAACTGTAGTTAAAGTATGGAGGATAGTTGGGTTTATTTCCACTCTTGTACCTACAACAAATGCAAAATCGTTGACACCCATTATTTAAGGGGGGACAGCGAAATAGAGCGCGATAGAGATAGGTGCAGCGAGATATAGCATGTGACCATTCCATACTCCAAGTGTAGTGAAAGTATTGAGGATAGTTGGTTTGTCTTTTTTTCCACTCTTGTGCCTACAACAAATGCAAAATTATTGACACCCTCAATTAGGGCGCAGTATGGATAGGTGCAGCGAGATTAAGGATGTTACCATTCCATACTCCAAGTGTAGTCAAAGTATTAAGGATAGTTGATTTGTCTCTTTTTCCACTCTTGTGCCTACAACAAATGCAAAATCGTTGACACCCTTCTTTAACTCCTTCAGTCACGAATTCGGCTTCCGCGCTTGATGGGTGTTTTTTCAGCAACTCTCCTGCACGCATACTTCGTTCTGTCCAAATCGACACACCCCTTACATCCCGCGCACACGCGCTGTGGCGATCTCTCTTCCTGCCGTTTTACAGACCTACGCAAAGCCTCTGTGCCTGCCTTTCCTCCCGCCGACACATTTATGACATGTCTCACTCAATCCAGACCTTTTTGCTTTTTATATATATTTTTAAGAGTACCAAAAGGGTAGGTAAAAGCAACATCAAAGCTCCAACCGACACATCCAAGTGCCGACTGACCACTTCTGAGGATGCGTGGGTAGTTTTCACGAGATAATGCCTCCATGCCGCCCGACTATTGTGTCAAAGTTCACAATTGTGCGAGTTTTTTGGGGCGTTTCTGGAAGTGTGTAACTTTACAACATTTTATGACCGAAAGGGTTGAGGGGGGACAGCAAAATTATGGCGCGATAGGGATGGGTGCAGCGATATATGGGATGTTACCATTCCATACTTCAACTGTAGTCAAAGTATTAAGGATAGTTGGTTTGTTTGTTTTTCCACTCTTGTGCCTACAAAAATTGCAATATCGTTGACACCCTCATTTAGGGGGGGACAGCGAAATATGGGCGCAATAGGGATTGGTGCAAGTTTACAATTGTGCGAGTTTTGTTGGTGTTTCTAGAAGTGTGTAATTGACAACATTTTGTCACTGAAAGGGATACTGCAGGTGACTCTAAAAGTAAATTTTCCATAATATTTACAATTATATTATATGTTTTCCTTACTGTAGGCTCCTGCATGAGCTGTGGAGTGGTAAGGCCAAACACCTGACTAGTAGTTACTTTCAACACCTCTATCAACTGAGTATTGCTGAGAAGGAAATCATTAGAGGTTAAAGGCAATGTGGCTCTGAGCTAAATTTAGAAATTGTTACTAATACAGAAACTTAATTGCATTATTGTACTGCGCCCTATATATTTTGTACGTATGTGTGTATCTGGTCGAAAAGAAATATCTGAATGGAACTCGTGCGAATTAGTAGATGTGTGAAACCAACTATTCCCTGCAAAACGGTAGTGTGCGTAGGAATCCATGTTAACCCCCTTGTTGCCTAGTGAGTCTCCCTGGTCATGCGCAACAGATGCAAACACACTTCAGCGTGGAGTAAGAGTAACTTCAAACTCTCTCCAGTTACGCAGCTGTTGTTTTTCTTGCCCCCCTCCACAGGGAAGGTGTTGTCCTACAGTGCCAGCCAGCCCGGACAGGGAGAGGGCACGTCTCAGATGCAGAACACTCTGGTCTCTACCCTAGAAGTCTGGTGAGACGCCCACATGGCGTGTTTGTTGGGGAGTCTTCTGTGTTTCTAATTGTGCACAACAAATGCCTCGCGTGTAATTCTTGGATTCATTTTGCCCATCTCGGGGTTAAAAGCTTTGCATTTGGTGGTGAGCAAGCCCACCAAGAGCACCTAGAGACAAGTGGTATGGTAGTGTATCTCCCTCTGCTGTGGTATGGTAGTGTATCTCCCTCTGCTGTGGTATGGTAGTGTATCTCCCTCTGCCGTGGTATGGTAGTATATCTCCCTCTGCTGTGGTATGGTAGTATATCTCCCTCTGCTGTAGTATGGTAGTGTATCTCCCTCTGCCGTGGTATGGTAGTATATCTCCCTCTGCCGTGGTATGGTACATCTCCCTCTGCCATGGTATGGTAGTGTATCTCCCTCTGCCGTGGTATGGTACATCTCCCTCTGCCATGGTATGGTACATCTCCCTCTGCCATGGTATGGTAGTATATCTCCCTCTGCTGTGGTATGGTAGTGTATCTCCCTCTGCCATGGTATGGTAGTATATCTCCCTCTGCTGTGGTATGGTAGTATATCTCCCTCTGCCCTGACTCCACGTGCAGTCTGCAGTGTGTGGCCAATTCATTCTCTGTGTTTGGCTGTCAACACATGCTGGACATTGGCTTCGTGGACGCCTGCCTCAAGACCATCTTTCCCTCCACTGCTGGACTCGATTGCTGGAAAATGAGAGGAGTTATCCGTATCCTGCCATACCTTTATTCTCTACTGTTACACATGTCTAGGAACTTCCATACTGGAACAAAAGGTCTAGTGAATGTGACCATGAAATCTTACTCTGTGTATGTTCGTGCATGTGCATTGTCAAGTGTTTGAGGTCATACATAAAACTATTAGAAATAAAGACTGCGTGTCTGTGGTTTGTTTAATTGGTGGTCTGCTGCCGTACATACCGTAATCTTTTACGTACCTGAAATTTGTGATCGTGTGTGCTGCATGGCCAATGTTCTCTGAATATGCATGAGCTCTCCAATAATGTAACTATCTATTGTTGCGACAGACTGGTTTGTGTAAAGAGATTTCCTTTAGCTGGACTATGTGCAGGTGGAGTTACACTGCCTCTGGTGAAGCTGTGTCCTCCAGAGATGTGGCAGAGTGTTCTTCTCCCCTTCCTCCTCCAGTGCTGCCACACCGTCTTCACCGTGAGAACACTCTCTCTCTCTATGATCCCGGTTCATGCGTGTGTAGCTGGTAGAGTTTATACTGCACGAGATTTATGGTGTATACTCCATACGTATGTGTGTAGTTTTCATTCCAAATCAGGTGCATCTATTACGTAGATGTAAATAGAGAAGTTTGTCGTTCACTTTGTTAGGATACTGTGCTTCTAAAAAGTTTAACTGTACTAGAAGCATTTCACTGCTGCAGAAACTGAGACAGAGCTGGGAGGAGATAGAGGAGAACAAGACTTCTGCGGGTGTCAGTGCTGAACAAATGTATGGATGTACATGTATACTGTAGTCTACAAAGTATGAAGCGTTGTTATGAAAGTCAAATCCTTTGTGTCAGAGAGGGGATAATGTATGGAGCTGGAGATGAGGGCGAGATCAGTCAGGAGGTTATTGACGAACAGTTTGCCATTGTCCTCTCCAGAGACTATGCCAGTTTGATAGGTACTTGCAGTTAAACTTTATCAAAAGTGTGACCAACATGTACGTTTATACCTGTATGCAGGCACCCATAGTAATAATTGATCATTTGCCTCATGTTAATGTAATCTGTTTCCCCTCCCCCGTGGTTATGTACCGTCTTGGTGTACTACAGAGGCAGTGTGTATGACGAAGAAGCAGGTGGAAGGGGAGAAGGGGGGAGAGGGAGGAGGAGAGAAGTGTGACAGTGGGGAGGTTGAGGAGGAGATGGAGGAGGTGAAGGAGGGTGGGGCAGGTTGGCGGGGCAGTGGTATCAGAGACAAGTGGATGAGTAGTCACGAGATAGCTCCTCTGGCCAGCCACCTCCTCTCCAGTGGAGGGGTAAGCTCACTGTCATTATGTGTGCTAACCTTGTTGGGGGGCATGACTTACCTTAGTATACAAAATAAATACTGTACTTTTGATTTGCATGGAGCATTGCATATCTTGGTCCGGAAAAGTATATACACTCTCTGCACGTTTTCTCTATTGCAGCCATTCATACTGTCTATAATGTATACGTACGTATATGTCTCTTTTGTAACAAAACAGAAATATCTTCCCCTGTGTGTATAAGAGGAAGTAAGGATGTACGTTGCCGAGTGTCATAATTAGGTTGATGTGTGTCTGTTGACAGGCAATGTGTGAACTGCTGTTCATCTCGGTGTTCTCCGGTCTGTCATGGGGTGATACCAGGTGTGCCCACACCTTCACCAACATTGCCGGACTCATCATTATGAAGGTATATAATTATTATATGTACTACTATATAATGTTTGTTACTTATCTAAACACACTGGGATTCATATTAGTTAATTTTCGGAAAGAAGTTGGAATTCAGTCACATGTTCACAGATGGACCTTACATAATAAAAAAACATTGTATGAGATGTGCTTGCCTGAATACAGCACTTCCTATCATTCACACATCCGAGCCATTCCACTGCCATTCACTGCCCTATAATCCCACGATGAACTTCTTTCTGCAGGTGTCTACTGGACTACTACCTGTTCCTGTCATTGGAAAACTCTTTGAGCAAGTTCTTGTGGTAAGATCATTAGAAGCATAGAGAGCCTCCCTAGACATAAGATTCTGGTGTGGCTAATTGACGTCAGTGACTGCATTTTTGTAGTTTGTGCACAGTAGGCACGCATGCGCAGCGAGGGTTACAGTACCTGGTTTTGTCTGTCTGTCTGTCTGTCTGTGTGTCGACGCTTATTCTAGCACTACAGGCTACGAGGCGATACCAACCGCTTCAGAACTACGCAAGTAAAAAGGTGATTTTCCTGAAATGACTGTGTTCGAGATACATGCTGCGAAAACAAGCGAAAAAGCCAATATGCATAACCTGCACTGGCTTACCGCGACCTTTTCCGCTTGCTCTGCGGCACAAGAAGTCCCAATAAAGGGTGTGTATCGACTCCCACATGCTATCTAATTGTGTAGCTAGCCAGTGTCAGACTCTCTGTGAGCTTCTAGCGTGGAGACCACGAGTAAACGCATGCTGAGAGCCCACCCAGCCCATCAATTAGCGGTACTACACATGCGCAGTGCGCCGAGGGTTTGCACTTAGTGCTTTTCATTGTATCTCTGTTTTACCGATGGGCCACTATGTTAACATCCAAGCACATGCAATACAAACTTTCTGAAATGATTGACCGAGGGTTAATGATTGACCCATTTACAGGCACTGCAGAAACACGGGATCCATGAAGGCAACAGAACAGCCCTGACCAGTCTAGCCCAGCTCATGTATGAGACCATGGTCAGTTCATTACGCACACCACTTAGTACGTGATGCTGTTGGTGTGGATTGCTTCCTACTATCCACTTGGTACCTAAAGCTCCAGTAATCGACTCAACAGCATATGTTATTGTGGTTACCTGTATCATGTCGGGCATTTGCTATTTATTAACCCTCGGCGCGCATGCGCAGCGAGGGTTACGGTACTTGGTCCGTGAGTCTGTCTGTCTGTCTGTCTGTCTGTCTATCTGTCCGTCTGTCCACGCGAGTTCTCGCACTACAGGCTGCCAGGCGGCGTAACAGCGATACTAACGGGTTCATCGCTACACTGGCTTCATTTAAAAAAAGGCGATTTGCGTATAACTACGGCGTTCAAAATTTATGGCGTGAAAAGCAAGTGAACAAGCCAATATGCAAATTAGCACAGGCCTACCTCGACCAGGTCCGCTTGCTCTGTGTATCTTTAAGGCACAAGAAGTCACAACGAAGGGCGTGTATCGACTCCCGCATGCTATCTACTACTGTAGCTAGCCCGTGTCAGACTCTCCGCGAGCTATACCAGCGTGGAGACCACGAGTAAACGCATAATAAAAGCCCAGGCCATCAATTAGTGGTACCGCGAGTGTGCAGTTCGCCGAGGGTTTGCACTTTAGTGCTTTTCATTTTTCATTGTGCATGCACTTTACAGAAAATAGTACGTTTAATGATGTTTTGTTGTGTGTACCCGGCAATATATTTGCTCCCATCTGTATTTATAGAATGTGTGATTTTTTGCCCTTCCTGCAGGTTGCTCAGCAGTCCAATAGTGTCCCCCTACTCCAAAATGTGTTGATACAACTTCCTGGAAATACTCCAGAAAAAATGAGGGTGTGTGTATTTTTTCTGCAGATTTTGTGTCACTATTGTTAACCCTCGGCGGCGCGCATGCGCAGCGAGGGTTATAGTACTTGGTTCTGTCCGTCTGTCCGTCTGTTACGTTTTCTGCCACCACGCGCGACAAACAGGTAAAATAGCGACACCAACGGGTTCAGCGCTACACTGGCTTCATTTTAAAATGGCGATTAAAAGTGCCGCGTTCAGAAACCAAGTGAACAAGCCAATATGCAAATTAGCACAGGCTTACCTCGACTGGGTCCGCTTGCTCTGTGTACCGTGGAGGCACAAGAAGTCACAATGAAGGGCGTGTATCGACTCCCGCATGCTATCTACTACTGTAGCTAGCCCGTGTCAGACTCTCCGCGAGCTACTCCAGCGAGTAAACGCGTACTACAAATAGCCCATGGCCCAGCCCATCAATTAGCGGTACCACGCATGCACAGTTCGCCGAGGGTTTGCACTTTAGTGCTTTTCATTGTGTTATGACTGAATGGAGTTATACATATGTATGACACATAATTATATTGCATATTAAAAACTCTAAAACCCAGACTGCCACAGAAGAAGCAATAAGCTTCCATTATGAAGCCACAGATCACTAATCAATTGTGGTCTAACAGTGTTTGTGATTATGGCAATTATTTTCATGATGTTATTTAATTCGTGCAGCTAGTGACTCGCTTGCGCTCTGGTTGCTATTTCCTGGCCTCATGCACTGCTGCTGAACCACAGCCATCATGTGACCCGCTCTTAGAAAATGTACGATTTGGCGCAAATTGCATTACGTGTATCGGTCGAAAGTGCAACGCACGCTGCATACAACGAAGAAAACCGCACCTTTTTAGCTGCTTCCATTCGAGCTCTATACGCAAAAACACCCGCACCCTTCTGTGCACGTTATTTCGAGATATTGCATGCGGAACTTTTATGATGGAATATACGTGGACGCAACGCCCACAACTACGAGGGGACGCTGCTGGCGCTACGAGCAGTAGATCGACTTTGTTCCAACGCGAAAAGGTAGACGCTGGGTTATAGTTTTCACCTGTGTCATAAAGTATACTTACCAAAACCATCAAGTTTTTTTGCTGTATACGCGCATAGCAGAAGATCTATATTTGCGCCGAATGGTATCTTTTCCCAGAGAGGGTCACATATGCACTCATATTGTGGGTAAAATTATTACATTCACTGGCTTCCTTTTTGAGAGTTAATTTACATACTGCGCACACTGGGAAGCAACCCTAATAACCCCTGTATGGAAATAAAAAAGTACTACATGAAATGAAAAGCACTGAAGTGCAAACCCTTGGCGCACTGTGACGCGCACGCGTAAGTAAACGCATGCGCCATACCACTAATTGATGGGCTGGGTTTAGTTTTAGCTGTTACACTCGTGGTCTCTTGCCAGCTCGCGCAGAGTCTGACGCGGGCTAACTACACTACTAGATAGCATGCAAGAGGCGATACACGCCTTGCGTTGCATTTTCTGGTGCCTCCGAGGTACGCAGAGCACGCGGATCGATCATGCCGTAGTAAGCCGTCCCGTCCGTTGTGTATTTGCATATTGGCTTTTTCGCGCTCTAGCTTTGCAACGGAGCGTTTTCAGAGAAAACCGTTCGAAATTTCTGACCTTCATTGTCCGTTCAGTAGGTGGTATCCTTTGTGAGACGAAAGCACACTCGAGAAGTGAGATGAAGAGCACACACACACACCACACACAGACCCAACTACTGTAACCCTCGCTGCGCATGCGCACCGAGGGTTAATTATAGTTCATAAGCATACCAGCCATAGGTAAATAGATATAAATAGAAACCACCACCACCATATTCACAAACCCCAAAATATCCATACAAAACACACATACACAAATACACATGACATGACATGAGAGCAGGACACTGGGTACCCAGCCTTGAGAACCGGGACAGTGGGTTAAAGAGTCTTTTATGGCTAGCCAACTCTCCCCACACACCCAGTATCCAACTCCACATCACAAACAATGACAGCCACACAGTGAGTAACTGTACGATAGCACAGTCACGACAACACATGTAGAGCATGATACATATAAATATTAATACAAACATAGATGGTAGAAAAATGAAATTGGTAGCATTGTAGAAAAATTGAAAAATAGAATCTAGCTTACTTACTGGAGTGGTAAAAACATGGCAGAATGACTTACTTGTAGCAATAAAACATGGTAGAAAAATATAGAATGACTCACTTGTAGCAGTAAAACATGGTAGAAAAATATAGAATGACTCACTTGTAGCAGTAAAACATGGTAGAAAAATATAGAATGACTCACTTGTAGCAGTAAAACATGGTAGAAAAATATAGAATGACTTACTTGTAGCGGTAAAAACGTGGTAGAAAAATAGAATCTGGAATAAAACGACTTACTTACTTACGTAGTAAAAACGTGGTGCACTATCGTGGTTCCTATTAGTGCCGCCCCACATAGTAAATTATGCAGTAGTCAATCTAAAGCTTATGTCTGACAACTGTGTGTGTACAAAACATCTAGCTACCAATCCCACAGGATCTTCTAAGTGTTGAGACATGGTGGCCCAGGAATCCATCACTGGCTGGCAAACATACACCTCCTCAATATGTCTACGTACACTGCAGTTGTATTTGCAATGCAAATGACTTTTTGCAAACCTTCCAAACGCTTTACATAGCTCTGCATATCTAAATCCTTGCTTTATTAATTTTTGTGTGACATGGCAAACCCTCGGTGAACCGCTAATTGATGGGCCGGGCTGGGCTATTAGTATGCGTTTACTCGTGTTCTCCACGCCAGTAGCTCGCGGAGAGTCTGACACTGGCTGCTACAGCAGTAGATAGCATGCGGGAGTCTATGCAGGCCCTTTGTTGTAACTTCTTGTGCCTTCAAGATACACAGAGCAAGCGGACCCGCTCAAGGTAAGCCTGTTTCCTATTAGCATATGGCTTTTTCGATCGTGTTTCTACGCCGTAACTCCCGAACGCAGCAGTTTCAGAGAAAACCCCACATATTTTTCGACCTATACCCAACACTGAATACGTGGCATTGTTTGTGGAGCGATTGATGGCTCGTGAAGTGAGATGTCGAGTGACAGACTGACTGACAGACAGACAGACAGACACACACGACAACTACCGTAACCCTCGCTGTGCATGTGCGCCGAGGGTTAATGAAGCTATGTACAACAGCTCTTGCAACCAATGTACAGGGTAGTAACTGCACTACCGTACATCATGGGCAAGAGTTTCACACTTTAGTGCTTTCCTTAATCACAGGCATTTCACAATCTCCTGAGTGGCGGAGAGACTGCCCAGCTCTGCAAGAGGAGGAGGGTCAAGTTCAGGGAGCTTGTCTCTGGACTCTGCCAGGTATGTATGGTACTTATAGAACACATATAATACGTACTTTAGAGTACTTTTGGTCTGAGTGACAGTATACATATACTGTGCCATAGCTCAGTAGTTTGAGGTTTGCCTTTGTGTTGTATTGTGTTGTGGATTCGAACCCCTACCAGCTGAGTTACCCTGGTAGCTCAGTTGGTAGAGCACTCACCTCAGAGTGCTGTGGGTTTGAATCCCACCCTAGGGCAGCTGTTCTTTCTTCCCTGGAAAAAAAGAACTTATCCTGGGTGTAGCTAGTTGATTTGCTTGCTGTGCCTTTGCCTTCTACATCGTAGTTGGTACATGTGTATGTTAGTCACTGACTTGCTATCTAAACTCATCATCACAGGGCCATATATCAGAGGTGTACAAGAGACCAGTTGTTTTCGACCTGCCTGAGATCGTGTTCAAGAAACAAGCCAAGACAGAAACACACGAACCTGTGTCCCTAGCATCTCTCTTTGGAGAAGAGTCTGCACTATAGTGTTTTACAGTCATGATGTCATAATGTGTATACCAATTTGTTTTTGACTGAACCGGAACCATACTAATGAAAAGCACTTGAAAGTGCATAACCCTCGCCACTTTATTCCTTATTACAGCAGCCGCTACACTACGTCGGTTTTTGGCACATGCGCGTTCAATACTAGTTACTACTACAACAAAGTGAAAAGCACTGGTACCACGGTCTTGACAACCCTCACCACTATATTATATTCAGCTACGTACTAGCTACACTACCTCAGTGACTCCTTCACTGAACGGATTTCACTGGGCGTGTGCTGCTCTCACTTCACCGGCAACCTCGATCCTACTCAACTGTACATCAACACAGGGCAGATCTTCTCCACACGCAAAGCATCTAGCATCTAAGTCAACGATGGTTCGCTATCTCTATTTGACGCACACTCACCTCGGCAGCCGTCCGTTTCATCAGCTTCCCCGGCCTTCTCCGCTCCAGAATCTTAGTTTACCATGCATGCCTCCTACTTGACACGTTTCACGTACGCTCGTTGTTGTGGTCGTCGTGGAAATGATGTAATACACATGCGCACCATGCAAGTTTCACTTCCATGTTGTGAGGAGTGAAGAAGTTTATTTTTGAAAATGCCTGATGCTATTTGTTGTTGTGGTCAGTCATGAAAACATGTAATAGGCGTGCGTAGCCGCGGTTACCGACCGAGAAAAACAGTGGACAGACGGACGGACGGACACGCGCACACACACACACGCACACACACACACACAGACCAACAGCAATAACCCTCGCTGCGCGGAGGGATAAAAACAAGAGCTGAATTCAGAAAGAGGATGATAGTCTGCGCTGCCAATAGTGAAAGGAGGAGAATTCAACGTTTTGATAATAAACGATTCAAACAGAAAGCGTCTTCAAGTCGGTTTAGGATTCCTTCAACAAAACATGTCAAAGTCCATCACTCAGTGCATGTCAAAGAAGTGGCTACAGACGCAAAAGGGCCATCCTGGCAGCATGGGAGGATTATTTTCGGGCAATTCTGCCAACACAGAGCTCTCTTCGGTCATGTGCTCCTCAGAACAAGAGATCAATAAGATGATGCACGACTCCTGCAATAATGAAGACTCCCTGCTAGATGTCCCTTTTGTGTCTGAGGAGATCGATAGTGTCTTGAAGAAGTTGAAATTTGGCAAGGCCGCCGGACACAACGGGGTGCAGGCAGAACAGGAGGTTGCTGCGAAGCTGGTATTCATCTCCAAAGAGCATGGTGAGGGTCGATGGCTCTCTGTCTTCCATGCTGACTCTAGAGCGTGGAGTTCTCCAAGGCTCTGTCCTCTCCCCAGTTCTCTTTCTGCTGATTATGGACCCCCCTATACTGAAATCTCTACAAAGTAAGGCATTCATTGGGTCCTTCTATTGGTGATATGGACGCGGGTGCATTCATTCATGCTGATGACATACGTACTATTAGTAGCTCCCGAGCTACTTTACAAGAGCAAATTGCAAATTTTTGCAGTGCAGAATGGACTGACTCTGAATCCCACCAAATGCGAGGTTGTGCTTGTTTCTCCTTCCAAACCAGTGGAATCCGCACCTATAGCTGTCCTTGGAGGTGAGGCTTTGACACCTCGTCTCAGCGCAAAGTGTCTGGGATACTGGTGGTCCTGGGACCTCTCTGCCACCAAAGCTGTCGATGAAGCCATCAAGAAAGCAAGACGAGCTTTCTTTGCCTTTGGAGCAATGGGGGCTGTTCATGGACAGTTGAATCCGTTATCAGTGAGGTGTAGTTCCCGTGCTGCTGTTCGGCTGTGAGAACTGGATGCTGACAGATTTGACACTGCATCAGCTGGAATCATTTCAGGGGGAAATTGGTCGTCGCATATTGAAACTGTCGAAGTATCACTCTACACTTTCTACTCGTTTGGCTCTCAGGTGGCCCTCAGTAACAGCAAAAATGTTTGTTCGTAAACTGAGTCTTCTATCAAAGGTGTCTGACGACGGAAATAGCATTGGGAGCCAAATAGTTTCAAGCTCACCACAAGATTCTCTCAGGCTCATGCAGGAATGTAGAGCTATGGAGGGTAAGCTCTCCTGCTCAGTGCCCAGTCAACTCTAAGAGAAATAAAGCGAGAGGTATTACAGGCAGACTGGGAGGCCTGCACCACCGAGGCCAGCCGTCACAACAGTACAGCGATTGCATCACGAATAGCTGCTGATACATCTTGGATGAAGCCATGACATGGCTCTTGATTATGGACCTCGTGGTACTGACTCTCTACAGGCCCTTTATCGTGAATTTACCAGGCCACAGTTTCAGCCAGGCATCTGCCATCTCTGTGGTGCCACAATGGATGTTTCTTACTTTCATCACTATACTCTCTCTCACACGCCTCTCTCAGACCCAGACCAGATTAACAACTCTATTTTGTCCGCTACTTCTGATATTTTAATGTATGGTAGACATTACAAGTAATTAAATTTTTTGTAAAACATGCCATGCCTATATTCTTGTTTGGCTTGCAGTGCATGAACCTTTCAACCTTTGGTTAATAAAGGTGTGTGGATAATTGCTCTCTATGACTTTATTATTTTATTATTATTATTATTATGCTTTACAACACAGGCGGTGGAAAACGAAAATTGAAGAACAAAAAAGGTGAAGTACATGCATAGACTGTGCTGATGGACTGAAGGCATAAGCCAGCAGCCAGATAAAACAACAACAAACGCAAAACATTACAAACTAACATTAAAATGCATTTTGACTGGTAATTGAGAACACTTGGGGCATGGACACAGATAGTGATATGAACACATATTGTTTGAATCGAAGTTGGACATGAAATGATCCCAGAAATATGCTCGTAACTTGGATTTTATTGCAGAAGGAGAAAGAGTTATATCGAAGAAAGGTAAGGAGTTCCATAGACGAGGAATCCGATTGAAATAAAAGTTCCTTTCATAGTTACTTCTACCGAGGGGGTGTTTCAGCTTGTAACTATGGCCAGCTCTAGTAGAATGACTACAGAACTGGACAAACTCGTGTATATTGAAATGGCCGGATGGAAACTTTACAGACTTGACCAGAAACATAATGTCAACAATTTCAAACTCCATCATCAGGGGCAACAGATTAAGGTATATTAGTCGATTCCTGTAGTCCAAGAGAGGGTTGCTGACGATGAATTTGGTTGCCCTTCTCTGGACATACTCGAGATATTTTATATCCACTAAAAGGTATGGGTGCCATACAGAAGAACAGTAAAGAAGCTGGGAACGAACAAGAGAAATGTACAAAGAGCGTTTTGCTGGTACCGACACAGAGCTGGAGAAAACTCTCCGTAGAAGACCTAACATTTTGTAGGCCCTAGAAGAGATGAACTGATAATGGGATCGCCAGGTGAGATCAGCTGACACATATAGACCGAGATCCTTTTGTGCAGCTAAAGAGGAGATTTGTTTACCATTCAAACGATAGTTGAACGACGAAGGAGATGACCTAGGCTTGAAACGAATAGCAGAACACTTTTCTTCATTTAGAAGCAGGTTCCAAGTTGAGCACCAGTCAGAGAGTCTAGAAAGATCAGTTTGCAGATTCAAACAGTCTTGCAGGGAGTAAATTGGCATGATGCACTTAGCATCGTCAGCAAAAGTAAAACCTTGGAAAAGGATAACGTAGAGGGCAAATCGTTAACAAAGATGAGAAAGAGAACTGGACCGAGGATACTTCCTTGTGGCACACCAGAGATAACAGGTAACGTGGGAGAAGTTGATTGGCCAATAGAAACATACTGGACTCTGTTAGACAGGTAAGCTCTCACCCATAGCCAGAGATCACCAGTGGTTCATTATGAGCCACAGAATCAAATGCCTTCTTGAAGTCTAGGTAAATAACATCTGTATGTGAAGCAGAGCTTAAAAGAGTGTTAAAGAAAACAAGCATCTGTTGCAGGGTGGAACGGCCGCGTAAAAAACCAAACTGGGAGTCAGACATAGACTTATATCGAACCGTTGTTTGCCCTGAGTTTGCAGCATGATGTGGATGTTGCCAGAGTCTCGCTACGGGTCATTGAAGGTCGCTGGTTGGCTGAACTGCACTCCTGCACGCCAGGATTCCATAGAAACTGATCTGTAGTGTAGGAGTGCGGTGCAGTATCTTGCACGCCAGGATTCCATAGAAACTGATCTGTAGTGTAGGAGTGCGGTGCAGTATCTGCACCCCTGGATTCCATAGAAACTAGTAGTAGAAGTACATGCATAGACTGTGCTGATGGACTGAAGGCATAAGCCAGCAGCCAGATAAAACAACAACAAACGCAAAACATTACAAACTAACATTAAAATGCATTTTGACTGGTAATTGAGAACACTTGGGGCATGGACACAGATAGTGATATGAACACATATTGTTTGAATCGAAGTTGGACATGAAATGATCCCAGAAATATGCTCGTAACTTGGATTTTATTGCAGAAGGAGAAAGAGTTATATCGAAGAAAGGTAAGGAGTTCCATAGACGAGGAATCCGATTGAAATAAAAGTTCCCTTTCATAGTTTACTTCTACCGAGGGGGGTGTTTCAGCTTGTAACTATGGCCAGCTCTAGTAGAATGACTACAGAACTGGACAAACTCGTGTATATTGGAATGGCCGGATGGAAACTTTACAGACTTGACCAGAAACATATCATAGAAACTGATCTGTAGTGTAGGAGTGCGGTGCAGTATCTTGCACGCCAGGATTCCATAGAAACTGATCTGTAGTGTAGGAGTGCGGTGCAGTATCTGCACCCCTGGATTCCATAGAAACTGATCAGTAGTGTAGGAGTGTGGTGCAGTATTTCTGTCGCATGTTCAAGTTTCCTTTCAGCAGAACAGCATGACGGTGTTAGATATCACCGGAACTCAGCTACTGTACATAGCTAGCATTTCACACATATCTACAGAGTTTGAAGAAGTATCAAGTGAAAAACGTAAACAAGAGCTATACCTCACACAGAGTCAGTCACTACAGTAATACAACACCGGGTGTGAGTATGTGTATATACTCTAGATTCAGTTATAAAAATGCGTAGTGATTCTGGCAAAGTCACTTCTCCTGGTCTTCTGAACAGAACTGCTGCCTTTCACAAAAACCGTCGTCCAGCATGAAAACTGCCATTGCATTAGTGTTTGTTGCTCTTGCTGCTGTACCCTGTGTCTCTGCCCAAGGAAGTAAGGAGCATTGTAGTCAGTATTCTGATATAATTATCGATTAAATGCCAAATGTTGCAGGTTTGGTTTCTCTCTACCGTTACTGGCGTTCCACAGGAGGGGATCACTTCTACACCACTAACGTCAATGAGATTGGTACTTCTACACCCGGCGTAGTAGGAAAACATGGGTACAAATCGGAAGGGGTCCAGTGCCTCATTTACAGCAAGCCAGTAGCGGGTAGCGTCGCACTCTATCGCTACTTTCTTGGTGGTCCTCCTCTTGACCATTTCTACACAACCAATTCTGCCGAGATTGGAACCACGAATCCTGGGACGACTGGAAAGTACGGCTATCGCAGTGAAGGGATAGTTGGCTACTGTTTCCCCAATCAGAAGCCTGGGACAATTCCCCTCTACCGCTACTACAATGGTCACAACGTGGATCACTTCTACACCACCAATGCTGCAGAGATTGGCACTACCACTCCAGGTTCCGTGGGGAAATATGGCTACACTTTTGAAAAAATCCAATGCTACGTTTTACCATACTACGGATGATGGTGTGGCAAGCAAAGGAAAACTGACATCTAGATCTATAGTGTAGCAGCAGGACACTTGTAGCTAGTGTATCCATGCATACTTTGTATATAAAATGAGTGGTAGCTGAACGAATTATTTTGTTAGCACTATGGGACTAACTTAGGGCCTGGTTGATACAAGCCCTTGCACTGACAGTGCAAGACTACACCTCGTTTCAGATAATGTCTTGTGTGAGTGCAAATAGTTGAGGTGTATGGGATTTTCTTGAATCTTCCATTCAGAGTGGCAAAACAATCCGGCAGTAGCTATCCGCAACTTGTCTCCATAACGGGGGTGTGAACCCATAACTTTATAGCTAAGCACTGAAGTGCAAAACCCTCGGCGCACTGCGCCTGCGCATGGTAGCTACCGGTAACTGTGATACAAGCACTCTTCATATCAGGCTGAAAAAAACACTCTTTTAGTGAGTGTGGCTACACCCAGATTATTGAAATTGGGGCGGTGGTACGTGGGCCCACGGGGTTGACTGGCGAACATGAATGTGACAACCGAGGTGAAAAAAAATTTCCTGGACTGCATAACCCGTTGTCCCCTGTGCAGGAAGGGTTTTTAGACTAGACGCGCACAGTCGTCCTGGGCAGTGGAAAAGTTGAGTTTCTCCTAACCACGCCTGTCAGTGGCTACGGGAGGTGATTAAGGATGGGTTTTTGGGGTTCTGGAACCCCCCTCCCCCCTCGAGGTCTTACCCACATACATACTCTCGCGCCGTCTCCTTGCACTTACGCATGCGCATACCACATGCGTGCAACAGCTGGCCGCGCAGTCGAATGAGCAGGCAAACGAAATTGTCAACGCGTTCTGTCAACCTAGCGCGGCGAAACGGCAGCATATGCACAACACCGACAGCGAACCTAGCTACGACGAAGAACGCCATGTCTGCCTCATCCCGAAGGGCGAAACTCCTTCATCTGGACCTCTTGTCGGGGTCAAAGTTCATGTTATGAGCCCCAAGAGGGATACAACGGTTATGCATACAGAAAAATATAAGTATATTATATAATGACGTGAACATGAGAAGAGATTAGAGAGAATTGGAGAGGGTAGTGGCAATCGTGAGGATGTTTTCGTGAACACCTCCTTAATGGCTTCCAGAACTCCCGCGACAGATATGTCACTGTTGCAGTGGTCTGAGCTCACGTGCTCAAAGTATAAAGTGCTCTGGTGGATGATGTTGTTGCAGATGGGCTTTCCAAACACTGGTCTGCACATTACACTCAGTAGATGTTGAGTTAAACAAGTTCCACGAACTCCGTGATCTAGGGCGATGTCCCATAGCTTGCACCATGAGGAGGCGATTCGAGGGTCAGCAATGTGCTTAGTCGACTGGTGACACTTGGCCATCTCTAGCACAATTTCTCAGTCCCTTGAGATCAGAGCTTCTTTTGCTTCTTGCAGTACTAATTGAGAATAATGTCGAAGAATAATGTTGAAAATTTTAGAAACGGGCGGGAAGACAAATTTGATGGGCACTTTTTACTTACCAACATGCGGTTCACAAGTTTGTCATGCTAAAATTTCAGGGTTCACAAATTTGTCACCCCTGTAGTATGGATAGTATTACACAGTCACAAAATTGTGAACTCTGACTTCTGAAGTTGACAATCAAACAGTAGCAGCTCGTCATTTAAAAACAAGGAGACTTGTACTAAACCACTGAGATCCCTTAAATCCAACAAGCTATGCACTACAATGTGGTTGTCATTGGGCATAATCATCGTTTCCGCCGGCACACCCTTAACAATTATTATAAGGCAGATTGTAATGGGTAATAAAACCACTTTGATAAAAACTAAGGGGCAAAAGTGGATCATTTAATATCTTCTGGAATTTAAGCTTGCTTTGTTTTTTCTGTAGATCAGCTGGTTCCTCCTCATCTGAGTCAGAAGTTGATGAAGAATTTGATATAACTGGCCATGACCCAACCGAAAGTAGAGGTGAATGTTTGATAGAAGAACTTCGTAGAAGGGGAGTTGGGCCAGCATTTTCAGGGTCATTAAGGCATTGTGTCACGAATGATGTACCAAGCTCACTTTCAAGTAGCTGACATTGCTCGACCAGACTGATCTTACTGACATCCTCAGAGGCAAGTGTACGGAGACACGAGAGCTGAGGTTGTCGCTGGTAGATTGGAGAAGCTTCACTAGAAAAGTTAACTTCCTTAGAAGGATGCAAACTCTCATTCTTGGCCAGTGCAGAGCAATGACAACAGCCAAGTATATATGAGTAAAATTTGGGTAGTCGTAAAATGCGTCTACCGATCTCTGCCTGAAACTTCTCCACAGTAGTTAACAAGGATTTGGTGAGTATCCAGTTTTCACTGCTGTAGAGAAGTATCGGCAGCACAAAAGTGGAGAAGAGGCTACGCCCAGAGAGTGGGTTTAGGGCACCCTGGTAGGCACCGATAGAACCCAGGCCAAAGAAAGCCCTAAGAGCTTTGCTAATATTCTCTTCAATTGATTTCACTGGTGTGAGGTTGGTATGCCACCAGTATCCAAGGCATTTAGCTGTCCGCTGAGTAGAGATAGACTGGTCAGTCAGTTGGATTTCTTCAGAGCTGGAAGCACAGGCAGAGAATGTGATTAGTTCTGTCTTGGTTGCATTCAGCTTCAAAGCATTGTCCAGTGCAAATTGTTCAATTGTCTTCCCCTGCTTCTGCAAGTCGGTAATGGAGTTGCTGGTGGAGCGGATATCATCAGCATGGGCAGCAGAACTAATGGTAAGAGAGGCCCAACCCACTGTTGTGGAGATGGTGTAGGAGGGAGTCCATCACGACAATGAATAACAGGGGAGACAGGACGGATCCTTGTCGTACACCTCGATGGACACGAAAAGGGTGGGAGAGAGGGCCGCCATGCTTAACAACGCTCTCTGGATTTGTGTACCAGCTCCTAATGAATTTTCCCTTGATTCCACACTTGAATAGGTGTGATAGGAGAGTTGGAAATTCAATGGAATCAAAGGCCTTTTCAATATCAGATAGGCAGAGGTAAGCACTATCGCCCTCCCTCACAAACTTGAGCAAGGCCTCCTGGGTAGAGAATATTGCATCTGCACACGACACAGATCGCTGGTATGCAGTTTGTGACGAGTAGGGAAAGCCTGCTTCTTTAAGTGGCATTTCCATACGATGTAGCAATATCTTTTCCAAGCACTTCGAGATGACGGAAGTTAGGGTGATCTGGTTTGGATCAAGTGGATTACGCCCCTTCCCCTTGTACACTGGAATGATCACCCCTAGTTTCGGACTGGGTGGAATGGATCACTGCTTGAAGTATGATAGTTTACTAAGTTCATAACAGCAGTAAATGCTGTGACACACTGAGGATATACTGCCAGTTTACCACTATCCAGTTTCCTTAACCTAAACTGTCCAGTAAATGTTCGGTATACTATACTTGTAGTCTACTGTAGATATACATGGATGTAAATACACAGTAGAACAATGCCTACAGTAAAACATTCTGAAATGATGTCATGATAAATGAAACAGTCACACACATCACACACTACATAATTATTGTCAGCATTGTGTGATGTTCCCATAGCCGATCTAATGAGACATGACTTGCTTTAACACAACACATGTATTTCAAAATCTTCTTGTTTTTCGTTGTCTCTTCTGTCTTTTGCGCTTCTTTCTCTTCATCTCCATGCTTGGTTGTCCCATTTATACTCAAAAATATGTAATAGAGGATATATAGCATAATGAGCAACAAAGTGAATACTACAACCATACAGCCACAAAGGCCAACATATCAGATTGACAGCCATACGGTCACAAAGCCCAACGTATCAGACTGACAGCCGTACGGCCACAAAGCCCAACATATCAGACTGACAGCCGCACGGCCACAAAGCCCAACATATCAGACTGACAGCCGCACGGCCACAAAGCCCAACATATCAGACTGACAGCCGTACGGCCACAAAGCCCAACATACCAGACTGACAGTGAACGAATGGACAGACATATCCCTCCCTACAAGACAGCAGCAGGTATGCCGGTGAAACAGATGCATTATTCTTATGCAAAACAGAGGCACACCAGGCCAATCTCACAAAAGACCCACAAATCTATGGAGGTTGATCATTTAGCATCGGTTCTTGCTTAGATTCCAACCAGCAAGGCATTTCTGTAGGGAGCGACAAAACCTCTTCGCCGGGATTTACGATACAGAGACCAAAACTCACCAGGACTAGGAGTCAGCCCGTCTCTCACAACCGCTTTTCCGGCGCCGCCAAGTCTTACGTACGCGCATGCGTAACAAATATCGTCAGATATTTGCAGCTGTCTAGTCTGAGTTTGAATCTTGGCATGCAGAGAGAAGGAAGACGCCTAGATCTCTACTGGAGTGGAAGAGCCTTCGTGAACGTAAGACTGTTGTGTATCTAGATATGTAAGTGTCCCCTGGTTACTCCTCTTTTAGATGCAGGAGGCTGTTGCCAGAATACTCGCCCGTGCAAGACGGGCGTGAGCACCTAGCGGAACGGTAAAAATTGAGACCTTGAGTGTACAGACCTATATCTATCTCAACCCTAGTCTCCTTGAGGTTCTCCTGTGCCGGTCCAGGAGGCAACCCCTGATTGATTTTGCTGTGTAAGTAAACCTCGAGTGTAAGCGTGTGTATTTACACATGTGGTAACTTCTGCCATTTAGCACAGCACTTGACAACTTCGGCCTAGGTGACTGACAACACAGGAAGTTGAATCTACTGCAGTAAGTACATGTACGTGAGTGTTTATTTGAGCAGGTACGATATTTGCAAGAGCAGTGTGTTTAAACAAAGGCAAAAAGACGACGAAGAGCGACAGCTACAGCATGGCATATCCACCACACAGTCTAAAGGTACATATTATTTGCCTTGTTTCAAGGATCCCCCTGAAAAGAAAGGGGAATTCTTGGGACGGGTTACAGTGAAGTGTCTTTTACTTTATGTATCAAGTTGGACCAGTGTTCACAAGAGAGAGAATTGTGTTTCAAGTCTTTCAAGTTCAAGAAGAGAGAGCACGTGACGGCTGAGTCTGATGTAAACGAGTGAACATTGCTGTGATTATAAACTGTGGCTACATTTGGATCATTCTTTGTGTAAAATTGCATATATTTGGCTCAGTGATGTTGTCATTTGCGCAGCTGGATCAGTTGACGATTGCATGATCATGAAGGGTGCTATTATATGTATATACAACTGTATACGTACTGGAGATTTACCATCAATCTTCTGTAAAAATATACTCAAAATATACACTGGGCTACTGAGTTTCCTTGTTAAAAATCTCACGGTAAATCTACAGTACCAAAATGGTTCCATATACTGGAGTATACTGAGACAACTGTGGGAATATACTGCACAGTACAATTACTATAGTAGTCTTTGGGGTTACCGTAAAGTTACAGAGGATTTACCCTGGGTAAACTAACGCACTTCAAGCAGTGGATTCGAGGCAGAGGATGGCAGCAAAGATCCGCAGAAGCCAGACATGGATGGCATACCCACCGTACTTGAGATGTTCTGGATCAAGGTCATCAGCACCCCCAGATTTGCCCGACTTTAGAAACTCTACTGGCGTTGCAACCTCATCCATGGTGATGTCAGTGTCAAAAGTAAAATCTTCGTACAAGCGAGAGCAAGCCTCGAGGTGTGGTAGCTCGGACTCCTGCTGCTTAACTGAGGGATGGTCATTTGCTTGAGATTGACTGAGGGAGTCAAAATAGGATACCCACACTTGAAGCAGATAGTGTTTCTGAGCATGGTGTCTCTCTGTTGTAAACGCTTGTATTCGTGGCGGGCACGACAGGTGTTTACGTACTGCTTCACAGCATGCTTCTTGTGTTTCATGTCAGCATAGAGATCGCCGGATTTAGGGCGGCCGGCGTTTCACCACCATCTCCATGCCTCCTTACTATCATTTCTTTCAGAGAGTTGTCATGGATGAACAACTTTTTGTTATCCCTCCGTGCGCGATGTGGTAGAGAGGAGTTGGCAGCCTTGTGCATTATATCAGTGACAATCTTTATTTCGTCTTCTACTTCTTCGATACATGTTAAAGGCCGTGATACAGAAGGGGCAATATGACGAGAGAGCTCTGATTGGTAGACCTTAATTGACCCATCTGATGCTGCCTTCCTCCAGTTTGGCCGTGGCTGTATATATGCTGGGTCACAGCTTATGCCCATTTGAAGATTCAGGGAGATGGATATGGGGAGATGGTCTGACAGGTTCAGAGGGTGCTGCTCATGAATGTTGCAAAAGTTGGTCGCATACACTAAGACGTGGTCAATGAGGTAGTAGTCAACAGTAGTGAAATTGCCAGCAATTGACAAGAATTCCAATTAGCCAGGGGCCAAGAATTCCAATTAGCCAGGGTATGGTGCGGGGGTCAGTGTCCACGCGCATGCCCATCAGTGTTCACGATTGGCATGGAAAACCCCAGAGCTAATCTCGTGCCCAGACCCCGCCCTCGATCAAGAGGTCTGGTGAGTTGTCTTGGTTGTGCTGACTCGACAGTCGACAGCCTCTTATATACTACTAGGAGGTCGGTCGGACACGGTCACGTGAATCGTACAAGAATTCCAATTAGCCAGGGGTGCCGATTTGGCGCTATGGCGCCATGGCGCCATGGCGCCGAAAATGGCGTCATCAGAAAAATCACATCGTCGATGGGTGAATTTCAGGCGTCAGCGCTTGTCGCTTTTCCAGTTCCAGGCCTGCTGACTTTCCTGCTCTGGCAACGCCGTATCGACTTCGACTACCGCGCGCTACTGCCACCGCCCCCACAAAGAAAGTGCGCACGCATGCGCAAAATGTATGACTATGGCAATGCTTATAAGTGGTGCGGCGCCAAGCTAGTATCTGACACCAATACATTGTCCCCGTCGTTTCTAAGTTTCAGCACCCCTGAATGCTAGTGAATGCACGACCTTCGACGGCCTATGCTTAGTTTGTTGACAACACAGACGGAGAATTCGCTTGAAACCACACAGAGAGTTGTAAAAAGGATTAAGGTACTGTGCATTTAGCATGGCTCTAGGGCTCACGCTGTGAGTGTGACGGAGTTCTTAGCATTCTTCACTATAACTTGCCGAGCGGTAGGGGATCGCTGGGGATAATAGGATTTTCCGTATCTTTCTTACATATTACATCGAGTCAGTTGCAAATCCTCTCCGAATCCCGCTTGGTTTTGCTACCAGCACGCTCTTTTATCTCCCCATACATTCTTTACGGGAAGAAATTGCTGTGTCAGCATAATTTTCATTTACAATGACGCAATCCCTGCGTATGTCCGACCTCCTCCGCAGTATTTGCCACGAGCGTGAAATGTCACATGATGTTATGTAATACATCGTAACGCAGCTCCGTGGATTCCGCGTGTCCACGAAAGAAAACGAGCTATTCTGCGCACGCACTCGACAACCACTCAACAGTCACCAGACCCTTTTCTTCTGGGTCTGGGCACGAGACTACGCCACTGTACTGTCGACGTCTGTATTACGTCATTACCCTCTACATGCGTGCGTGCCTCCGCGAACTCGCTTGCGTAGCGCTTACTATAAAGTGATCTGCTGCAGAAGACTACTGCCACGTTTGGATTCGACTTTTAACAGTTATCTTTGTATCCTCAGCTTCATAATGAGCAAAAAAGAGTGAGTGACTGTCTGTTAATTGAGTGCAGGGTATATAGCTATATAACTTTATAAAAATGGCATAGCTCACGTAAATTCAGCAAAACAATGCTCTAGAACAAAAACCATGCAATGCAATTCAAGTGGCCCACACAGAGCTTAAGAAAGCATTGGCCATAAAAAGAACTACTCCTCCACGTGAGAGATCCAATAAGCTGGGAGTGTGACGCCTATACGACGAGCCAGGTAACAGTGCAGTTATGGTAATTCAAAACAGTACGAGGCGAAGCTGAATGGTCTTTTGATTCAGTAATATGTAATACCACATTACAATCGTGTTAGCTAATGTTATTTGACAATGATTGTGTGTATCTATTATATTTTCTTCATAATAATATGTAACATTGTTGGCAACAGTCGATCAGTTATGTTAAGCTTTACAAGGCTCTCCATTTCCATGCGGTGTAGGAAATGAAATACAGCTACAATGCTATTATTTCATACTTCATGCTTGTAGTTAAAAACTTCTATTGCTCTTATAGTACATTTTCTATCAAAGTTGCTGTGTTATTGATTTTTAAGCATTGCATGCCTCTTGTGTGACGCACTGAAGATGTTTGGCTAGCCACACACACGTTGAGAATATTCATTGTTCAAAAGAATGTGCAAGCTCCTTATATTTTGCACCTTTAATATTGAATTTTGTCAGGAGATAAGGAAAGACAGGTGTTAGCTACTGCCTGATACCCATCACTACACTATTGGTGTGGGTGACAAGCTATGTGAGAAGGGTTCATGCATTTGTATTGTTCATGCTATCCGATTGTATTTTATAATCTTAGATGGTGCAAAGAATGTTTGTCAAAATACCTGTTTAAATGGAAAGTGGCAGTATTATAACATTAGAAACTACTAATTACAGAACCTAATTTACTTGACCTATAATTTAGTAGTAAGCTCTTTTGTAACACAATACTGGTGTGCAAAACCAAAGACGTGGAGTAATTATGCTATTAGCTACATTGCTTCTTTTTCTTCATAATGTTGTTGGCAACATTCCATCAAAACTTTACAAGGCACCCATTTCCATTCTGTCTAGGAAATGAAATACAGCTACAATCCTATTACTTCATATTTCATGCTTGTAGTAAAAAACTTCTATTGCTCTTACAGTACATTTTCGATCACAGTTCTTATGAAACGTGCGGTGTTATTGATTTTTAAGCTGCATGCCTCTTGTGTGACGCACTGAAGATGTTTGGCTATAGCCACACACATGTTGAGAATATTCATTATTCAAAAGAATGTGCAAACTCCTTAGATTTTGCACCTTTAATATTGAATTTTATCAGGAGATAAGGAAAACAAGTGTTACTGCCTGCTTACGGTGTATATTGTTATTCATCCATTCTGCATGCACAGCAAGAGTTAGCTAGTAGCTGTAAGTGTGTCCGTCCGTCTGTTAGCTACCACGTTTTCTGCCAGTGATCACAACAGACCGGCAAAAAAGTGATGCCATCGGGTTTAGCACTACACTGGCCTGATTTGTAGGCTGCAAAAACCCTCACTATCGGCCTTATCGTTAAAATTGTAGCCGTACCTGAAATTGTTTTGGCCAGCCTCACAGAAAAGCGCTATGGCCACTCTATAATTATAGTGTTTGATCCGACTTTATTTGGTATATAACTTGTAAAAGCGTATGATGTCATCCGATTATCGGTGACGAACGGACATATGATTATGTTGTGTATTTAGGGTTAAATCTAGATCTGTCAATTGTACTGCCGATGGCGACAAACATACAGACCTACCACATACTCCTTGCGAACATGTACACACACTGTGATTACCAGTGGTTTACCTAGATCGTACTTATACGTACAGTGGAGGCATAAGAAGTTGCAACAGAGGGTGCGCCTGACATTTTAGGTTTGCTTTTGCTTTCCAAAGAAACCTTGTTGTTGACACAAGTTATCCACTACCTAGCCAGTGTCTTACTCTCCAAGCCCATACCCAGGATTCTAAAAGGGGCAGGGCTCAGGTGGGCACCTACTGTCCTAATATTTTCATAACAAGTTCATGCATCTCTTAAAGTTCATGGAAAATATAAATTGAGGCAGATTGCTGTCAAAGTTGCAT